TCTCTCTCTCTCCACATATATATATATATATATATATATATATATATATATATATATATATATATATATTTGTACAGTTTTTATTTTAAGACATTAAAATATATTTAAATATTTGTAATAAAAAAAAAAGTCCAACTCACCTTGCAATTGCATTTATTTATGGCCCAATTTAGGTGGCATGCGGTATGCGGACAATCAATGATTTATTTTTTCATATAAACTTTTAAATTTAATCTCTTTTACATAGACTCGCAAAGACCTGTAGAGCATAAAAATTGACAATTGTTCCTACCTGTCATTTACATTCTTAAATATGTGGAGCTGAAATAAAAAGAAACCAACAATAAGATTAGCAGCAAAGCAACCAATTTTCAGAGTATCCATGAAAAATATGGTAAGCACACATAAAACACCGATTAAAAGAATTGAACTATTTTGATGTCACAAAGTGTGACATCCTCTTTTATTTCCCATAAAATCTAAAATACACATTATTTAATTGAAACCATGTAATGGAAATTTAATAAATACTAACAATACATCTATTTTTAAAATAAAAAATTATGGTGTTACAAGAGTGGTGGAAACAGCAGTGACATATATCCTAAACCCTTTCTTGTTAGGTTAATAATACTATATCTCGAGTAATAAATTTTTTTTTCCATATCTTTGAGGAATCAGAGCTGGATTTGCTCAGGTATTTATGCTATAGCCTTATAGATTCCTTGAGATGTTAACTTTGGGAATATTCATGTCTACTGGTATCAAATTTTGGAATCATGGATTTTAATTAAAGAATGACTCTGCCACTTTTAACAAGGAGATATTTGGTAATTTTTTTCCAAGAAAAGAAAGATCGAAGTTCGCTTTAGAGGTATTCCGGTAGTCTTGGAGAATATTGATTCAACTGCACTAATAGGTCTATAAGAAAACCTTCTAATAAAACCTGAAGACATTTTTTCCATGAAGAAAATTCCTAGTTCCAAAAGTTGGGAAATTTTGGATTCCACTTGGCAGTAGGAATATCTTTTTCATGCTCAAATGATAATCAAAGGAAAGGGAACAAAGACCGTGTTTTTTTCCCTCTATAAACTAGTGTACAAATGAAAAGACTCTAAAAGGAGAAGATGTCATTATTTTTGTTCCAGAAAATTATAGTGACTATCCTGATATAGAACATCCAAAAGGTTAATATTAACTCCTCTTTAACATGGTTATATATGGTTTATATCTCATTTAATGCAGTACCTAGATTTTAAGGATTGTCTCTTATGTTTCCATGATAATCGTCATAGTATAGTAGAAACCAAATCGTTACACTGGTGACGTATCTCCATGTGTTAAATGCTCTAGGTACATGTAAAAGTGAGTGAAAATATAAATAAAAAATACGTGAGAAATAACATATATATATATATATATATATAATAATACAGGAAAAAAGAAGGGAGAAATAAATAAATAAGAGCATCAAATTCACCATTTTTTAATTTTTTACTCTCTTATTTCTACTCAACCAAACAATTAATCTTACTTTTACTCTTTCTAAAAAAATGTGAAAAATAAACATTTTTTTTAAATGGGTAGTTATACTTTTTATTAGTTATTATTTTTGTACATAAATTTTTATTAAATTTGTATTTATTGAAGTATCTATTAATTAACTTTAATTTAACATTTAATTATCTAAGCTTCAAAAATATAGTTAAGATAATATTTATTAATTTGTAAGAAATGTTACTATCTAAAAAATTATCACATCCTGATAAACCAAAAAAGACATCTCATTCGAATAAAAGCAAAATGCAATTAGAATAAAAAAGCAACAGAGGCATTTGAATAACATGGTAAAACTATTATTAGAATGAGAGTAGTGTAAATTTTAAATTATATCTTTTAATAGTATTATATTATTTTCTTATTTAATAAAATAAAAATAAAATAAAATAATTTAAAAGATATGATTAGTTGCTAGTGTAAACTTTTTTTACACTAATAATATATAGATGATTACCTCTTAAAATGAATGTCTATTCATGTATTTTGACATATTACTCTAAAATCTTTTTTTCATGCTCATTTTTTAATACAAATTTTTAATTATTTGTTAGTGTATACATTTCATTAACTTTTTTTAAACCTTTTGTTTATCAAATAATTGTATATTTTATTCTTTTAAAGCAAAATTAAAATAGTATTTTATCTCTACAATTTTACATTTTGAAATAGCTTAGCACTCTAACATCGTGCTATTGCATGTTCCTTAATTACGTAGCAATTAATATCATTTATTTCACTTCTATGCATCTTTCTTTTTTACCTACTTGGTATCTATTTTCTTTTTCATTACTTTCTCTTCAGGTTGTTTCTCTCCCACCATTCTTTTTTCTTTTTTTTTACTCAAGACATCATCTTTATTCATTCTTATTTTGTCATGTATCATGTTTTTTATTTTTCTTTTTTCCTTTTTTATAACAAATATTGCAATTCATTTGCTTTTAAATGAATAAATATTCGTAGGTTGACAAACAAATAACGAAGTTGTCTTACTTAGTAAAGAGGAACTAGCATGTACCATTTTAGTCATCTCATAACTTTGTTGAAGTGTTCCATTTTAAAAAAAAAATTACTCTTTTTTTTATTTAAAAAAATATTATGTGATTAACTGATTATCATGTATATATTGTTGCATGTTATTTTTTTTTCATGCATTTTTTTTTGTCAAACTTGGTATATGTTATTTGAAGATTTTTTTTAGCAGATGTGGTTACAATTTTTTTTTTTGGTAAATGGCTAACAAATTTTTTTTTTCCAAGGCAAATGGCTAACATGCTTTTTTTTTTCCCCTTTCTGGATAACATTCTATTTTTTTTCTTTCAAGATGTATCATTTCTTTGGACATGTATTTTTATAGACATGTAAATATTAACATATTTATTTATTATTATTATTATTTTTTATTATATTTACTTTTAATAATATCACATATATTTTTTTAGGAAGATTACTTTGAAAAGTTATAAAATATTCATAAAGATAAGTATTCACTTACAATAATTGACTAAATTTTAATGTGACATTTTCATATTATATTCTTAATACTTAAATTTTAAATTTTAAATTTTTTTGTTATATGTTCATCCTCTTAAAATATATTCTATTAAATAAAATTATACAATAATAAAAAATAAAACTTAACTTTAAAAAATAGTAAAAAATAAATTATTGTCTCAAAAGATAAGATATAAAGATAATATAATAATATGATTATTTAAAAATATTATATGTACGAATTTAATAAATACAAAAATATAGTTATGATATTTTCTCATTTAAAATCAATTCTATTTTTTTTCCAATATTAATATACTTGAAAATGCAACATTAAATAATACTTATACAATAGCATGTAATATCATTTCTACCAGTTTAGGGTTTAGGGTTTATGTAGCTTAAAATATTTATGATTATTTGAAGTATTATAATTGTAAAAGAATTAAATTATAGCATTATAAAAAATAATATAAATACACATATATATTAATAAATTAATTTTTTTTAAAATAAATATAAAAATATGAAATATCTTAATTCTATTAGTTATATTAATTTTAAAGATTAAGAGAAAAAATTATGCTTTTAATATCGGAAGAACCAAATTAAATTAAATAAACAAATAAAAATAAGTAATTAGAGCATAAAAATAATTATTATAAATTTAATACATGCACTAAGGTATTCTTTTTTCCTAATAACTTATAACAGTCACATCTTTAAGCTCAAAAAAAAAAAAAAAGTACATCTTTAACTTTTCCGCGAAGAATAGTAGAAAGTGCCCAGGGGCGAAGTCAGTAGCGTAGGAATAACGGAAACCGCGCACACGGTAAGGAAGCGATTTTAAAAGAAAGAACTAATAATTTCATATGTTTTTTTTACGAAATTAGTTTTTTTTTTCTCATTTTATTTCTATGTAATAGTAATCATCTTGTCACGCGTTTCTGTCTCTTTTCTTCCCGTGTCATTGTTTATTCCTCAAATATATTCGCTCATTGAAATTGGGTAATTCCGTTTCAAAATACGCGGTTGAGCGCAGGAATTAATAGTCTATGAAGAGAAGAGAGGTGTATATTCATTAATTCCTGTTTGCGAAGTTCAATTTGACATTTTCGATGGAGTCTCAGAGTCAGAGAGATCGCAGAACAGATGCTCTCGGAGATCTTCGACTCCTTCCCGACGAAATCCTCTGCACTATTTTGGAACGTCTCACTCCCCGAGATGCTGCTCGGGTCGCTTGCGTTAGCAGGTAACACTATCCACAATTATGTTATAATACAGTTCCTTAATCATTTCAGTTATGAATCTGTATGGAAATGGATTGTGCTGCATCGTTTAATTCGATTGCACTTTTGGTGTTTTGCTTTTCGTGTGACTCGGATTCATTGAGCAGCATTCTTTTAGTTATTATAGATAAATCATGTAGCTCGTGAGTACTGTGAGTATGATATGTTAAATTTTGGCAGTGTGATGTACATACTGTGCAATGAAGAACCACTGTGGATAACTCTATGCCTAAAAGGAGCATCTGGTTTGCTTCAATACAAAGGCTCTTGGAAGAAAACTGCCCTACATAAGTATGTCTCTCCCCCTTACGCAATTGCTGGTTCTGATATCAAATTATTAATTGCTATCCTTTTTGGCACTTAATTTTAGTTTCTATTGAATTTTAACGTATTTGGAGTTGGGCATTCTGAATGCAGTGAGAATCTGCCAGACAAATACAAAGAGTACCATCGAGGGCCTTTATATTTTGATGGTAAAAGTTCTAACACCACAAGCCTCTTATCTAATATTTTGCGGGTAAATTTAGGCTATATGCTCTTAGAAAATCATGCTGAAGAATTTTGTATAAACCACTGATATTCACCTTCTTGCAGGGTTCAACTCTTTATTTCTGTACAGGAGATTATACCGCTGTCATACCACATTGGAGGCATTTTACGCAGATAACGGAAATGTGGAAAGAATAAAAGACATCTCTCTGAGTCTGAAGGACTTCTATAATGAATATGATGCAAAGAAACCGGTACGGAGAAGAATTTTAATAGTAAACAATGTTAATTTTTTTCCCTTGAGAATTGAAATGGTTCTGCATTAGTTTTTATTTTTGGAATCTCTTACCAATTAAAAGACAATATCTTTGAGCTCTATACTTCCATTGTTTTCTTTAGTTTTTGGAAGAAATTATACCGATACTTTTTTGCTAGTTTATTTTTTTTATAAAGATGGTAAGTGAGAGTTGAGAAGACATTTTTTTAACCAAGGGTCCTTTGCAGAGATATTATTATGGTTGTTGGTCATGCTATATGTTCCTGATATCTTGAAATTCATCAATTTTGAATTACCAATTGTTAATGGTTTTCTTTTTATTGAAATGGAATTTCGATGAATTAATCCCAGGTTATGCTTACTGGATTGGCTGATACATGGCCCGCCCGGCATAAATGGACAACTGATCAGCTGTTGCAAGACTATGGAGATGTAGCATTTAAAATTTCTCAAAGGAGTTTTGGGAAGATCTCCATGAAATTCAAGGATTATGTCTCATACATGAAAGTTCAGCACGATGAAGATCCCTTGTATATTTTTGACGAAAAGGTGCTTGTATTGAGATATTCATATTTCAATAATCTGCTCCACCTCCCTGCACTATTTCTTTCCTATTTCTTGTTCTGCAGAATTTGAGAGTTTGGAGTTGTTTTAAATTTGTTTTAACACTCTTGCAGTTTGGTGAAGCTGCACCTAACTTATTGAAGGATTATTCTGTGCCTTATCTTTTTCAAGAAGACCTCTTTGATATCTTAGATACAGATAAACGACCATCCTATAGGTGGCTCATAATTGGACCAGAGAGATCTGGGGCCTCTTGGCATGTTGATCCAGCTCTAACCAGTGCATGGAATACCCTTCTTTGTGGCCGTAAAAGGTAAAGAGATAAGTTGCTTGACTTGTAAATTTTGCCTCCATTTTGAGTTTTTGACTTTGTAGCTTGTAGCATAGACTGACTGTTTACTCCATATTTGAGGAAGCTATATGCACAGTCTGTTTTGAGTTGTATCCTTGAAAATAATTAGTTGGTTCCTCTAGCCTATGACAATTCTTTTATTTTTTGGAGTTTCAGTGGGGGATAGGAATGAGGAAACGTGACATAAAATCCTTAAATGTGAGTGTCTAGACTTGTTAGATATTAAACTAGGCATCATTTTTTTATCTAAAGAAACTAGGTGCCATTAAGGTGCAAGGCCATCCATTGGCTGTAGCTTAATATTGCTATTAGGGTTTATGTTTGTTAGTTATTTGGTCGATGAACAAATGTTTGGTTTACAAGTTTCACATTTTGGTTTTAAATCATAGTAGTCAATAGCACACTATAGTGGATTGGAGCGGGCCATCCTGGTATGGCATTCAAATTGTGGAGTAGTTTTCAACAACAGCCATTTATATATGCTTCAAAAACCCAATTTAACTCCTGAAAAACACATTGTTTAATAAAATTTTGATTTCTACCCCATTTCCTAATAACTTTTTTTGCTTCAGAAGCACAATAGGAATTGAGAGTTAGTTATCTTCCTTGACCATTCCACATAAAGTTACCCCTGTTTTGACCTTTATTCCTTCACACTTTATCTTATTCACATTGATAGTAATTGTGTGTATCAACTGTGTCTTATTATTTCTCATGATTTTTTTTAATTTTTGTTTTATTTGAGTATCGGTATGTTTAGTTTAAATTATTTAATTTGTATTATAGTATTTAAAATAGCAGCCATCACACTCCTGCTATAACAATTTCAAAGTTAGCCACTATGTACTGCTATCCGAGATAGATATATATGTTTTGAATTTTCATGTAATCATTTTCATTTAATCTATTTCTGAAGTCTGAACTAATGCTACATGGCATAGTTTTTTCTAGATTTTATAAGATAGTAGCACTGAGATGCTATATGAAAAGTAAGATTGGTCATTTTTAGACTTGGCGTGCTATTCCTGATATATAAGCTAATCTAGGTATTTAAAAACTTCACATTGGCCAAGGTTGAACAAGAATCTTAAAATCAGAAAACCTATATCCTCTAATGACATTTCAGTTGTTTCAATCTTCTGGGTCTTAGATGTAGTGTATAGGTGTCATATATAAATCAAACTTAAGCTTTGTTGTTTTTAGGTCTCTCTAATTGCTTTTTTTTTTTTCCCAAAACTCTTTCAGCAAGCTGGTAAAGTAAGCAATTATTTTTCTAAATGAACTGAATCAAGCACACAGTAAGACAACATCTTGGCAAAACAATAGGAAAATGTTGATGTGATATGGGTTGAGGGGTGGGTGTTGCTAGGTTCAATTATGTAACTTAGATTGGAGTTTTCGTTACTGCTTGATTATGTTTTAGTTTCAGGTAACTAATGTTTAAGTGGTAATGTTTCACTTGCATTTGTTAGGTGGGCATTATATCCTCCAGGAAAAGTGCCTTTGGGTGTGACAGTACATGTCAATGATGAAGATGGCGATGTCAATATTGAGACTCCATCTTCACTGCAGGTACTGCAATGTTGCGATTTGGAGTGATTTATATATCCTCTTTTTGGAGGTGTATAATTATGATCAATATCCATAATAACTTCTTTTTTTTTTTTTGCCTATTTGTTGATGTGGTTATTATTATTAATCACATACCTATTTTGCAGTGGTGGCTAGACTTCTATCCTCTTCTTGCGGATGAAGACAAGCCAATTGAGTGTACACAACTACCTGGAGAAACAATTTATGTTCCAAGTGGATGGTGGCACTGTGTGCTAAATTTGGAAACAACTATTGCTGTCACACAGAATTTTGTGAATTCCAACAACTTTGAATTTGTATGTTTGGATATGGCACCTGGTTATCGTCATAAAGGAGTTTGTCGTGTTGGGTTGCTTGCTCTTGATGAAGATAGTTATGAAAATGTCAGACAGAACATGTCATGTAAAGAAAAGGATTCAAGTTACTCTTATTTGTCAAGGAAAGAGAAAAGAGCTAAAACTCAGAAAGATGTAGATGATCTGTATTGTGAAAGAGCCATAAATGGTGCATCTAGAAGCTACAATTTATGGAAAGATGGATTTTCTTATGATATAAACTTCTTATCCATGTTTTTGGATAAAGACAGAGACCACTACAGTTCCTTGTGGAGCTCAGGCAACAGCATTGGTCAGCGAGAACTAAGAGAATGGTTATCTAAGCTCTGGATTCAAAAACCAAAAATGAGAGAAATAATATGGAAGGTTATTTTTTTTTCCTACATTTATGCATTCTTTGAGCTCACAAAGTTACATTATCAGATTTTATGACCTTTTTCTGTTTATATATGTCTAGGGAGCATGTATTGCTCTAAATGCTGACAAGTGGTTAGAATGCCTATCAAAAATTTGTGCCTTCCATAATTTGCCCCCTCCCACTGATGATGAAAGGCTTCCAGTTGGCACGGGTAGCAATCCTGTGAGTTTTTGTTTATGTGATTAATAATTTTAACTTGTATTTTCATAAAGATTGAAATACATTAATTTTTCTTAGGCTTTGGTGAAAATATTTGCTCTATAGTGTCACAAGCAATATTGATGATGCAAAAATAACCAACCTCGGCCTTGGAATTATTGTAGATTTTAGTAGGATCATTCAAATGGAATTTTTGGTTTAGTTGAAGTGATTGTGCTTTATCAAAGAGTAAGGATGCTTTTATCATTTCTTTGTTATACCCTTGTCCAAAGTATGAAGTTAATACTCAATTAAAACCCATGGAAACAAAATCACATTTCAATCAATGTGCCCTGTCTGCAATCAACTTTTCTTTCACTTATTTGGACTTAGAGCCTAATTTAACCTCACAAAATTAGTTTGTGAAATGAGGATTGTCCAAACCTTATGAGGACTATATTGACCTTATCTTTAGTTGATGTAGGATTTCAACTTACTGAGAGTCGATGTCCTAGTGGCTCTACACTATGACGCGTCACACCTATAGGTAGCCCCCTCTATAGGTAGCCCTTTCCTAGACACTTTTGGGCTAGGGGTAACTGTAATTAAGGAGGCTTTCTAACACACTCCCTCACACCTAGTGCTATGGGCTTGGAGGGTTGTAGCATGGCAATGCAAGTAGCTCAACAATGGATTCAGGACAGGTTTTGATACTATTTTAGAATTTGGGTTTAGGGCCTAACTGAATCCACAAAACCACATTGTAAGGTGAAGACTGTATAAGTCTTATAAGGACTACATTGTTCATATTTATGTTGATGTGGGATCTCAACTCGCTAAAAGCTGATGTTCAAGTGACTTTAAACTACGAAGCTTTGCTCAGATTTTCTGATGGAAACCCAAGAATGGTTGGGATTATCATTTCAAATAGAAAAAAAAAGATTGGTGGATTAATCTACTGTCTCCCTCTCCCAGAGCACAAGCTCTGAATACAATTCAATAGAAATTCACCAAAACTATCTCTCTCTCAAACTACTATATTTATTATCATCTCCCTCAACTAACTCCCTAAAATAGATAAAAGTAGATAAATCCTAAAGATAAACTATGATAACATGATTCAAATAACATAATCCTAAACTAAATCCTAAAGATAAACTATGATAGCATAATTCAGATAACATATTCATAAACTAAATTTGCTTCTTTGAGTTGGGTTCTATCATTTTTTGGTTAAACCTTCCATAGGTAGTTCTTTTTGTGACACTTGCAGACTAGGGGTAACCACATTTATAGCAGCTTTCTAACAATTTCACTGCTTGTGGACTTGAAAATCTTTGATGAACCACTGTATTCATCTTGTATTCTACTTTCGGCATTTGGGGCCCTTTTATTTCTTCCACCTTAAGGTACCTTAGTTTAGGTTCTTTTGTTTTTTTGCCATTTGAGGTAAAATAGAAACAAACTCTTGGATCATGATTCGGCTCCTTATTAGGTGCTCCATATCTTACAGAAGGTGCCTTCAAGATGCAAGGTCCAGCATCTTACCTCAGCAATAGGTGAAGAGATTGTCACTTCGACTGCACCAAGAAAACCAAAAATAACAAGATCCAATGGCATTGTAGTTGTTGATCTTTTCACCATCTTTTTAAGTTCATGTCATAGTTTTCCCTCTAGTAATCATGAGTATTGTCTTTTGATTGTTGAGCTGTTATAAATATACAATTACTTAGCTGCTAATTATGGCCCTATCCGGCATGGTTGTCTGTTTTGAGCTTTGGAAATTTAAAAAATAAAACTGCTTTTCGGTCTTATCATTTTTATTTCAAACTTTTTTGGTGGTTAGTCTCAATTTTTTATAAAAAAAAGCTTTCATCCAAACAACACAAATCATTCTCTACTTCCTAATTCAAGTTGATTTGGTAATGTAGGTGATGGTGGGATTAGGAGTGTAGGGTGGTGGCTATTATAATGGTAGTAAAACAGACAACAATAATAATAACAATGATAATGGTAGTGGTGGCAGCTAGTAATGGCATTAGTCACAATGTAGACAACAGTGGTGGTAGTATAGTAGTGATGACTGTAGTATAGTAGTGATGACTGATGAAGGCAGTGACTGGCAGCAATGTTCATTGGCTGGTGTGGTGGTTGTGACTCTGGCTGTGACAACTGATTGGTAGCAGTGGAGGTCAATGATGGTGGTGACAGTGATGTATTGTGGGTCTTTTGGGAGAAATGGAAGAGTTAAACTTATTTTTATAACTAAAAACCAAAACTATTTTTTATTATTTAAAAAATTGGTATAAAAGTTTCAAAAATTGAATTAAAAAACAATTTACTTCATTTTATCCAGACATGTTTTGTTTTGAAATTTACCTTTGAAAACTTGCAATCATCTTGAATAGGCCCTAAGGTTCTCTAGTTGAGTTATGGCATGAGAATGGCTTGTGGTATGTTCATTCATTATCTAATGGAGTACCTGTTGGAGTATAAAATACCTTTCTAACTGTGGGAATGTTTTCCATTCTCTAACTAGGTTTATTTAGTGGGAAACTCTGTCGTCAAGATTTTTGTTGAAGGAGGACTGGAAGCTTCACTTTATGGTTTAGGCACAGAGGTACTTTATATTTGGCATTCTGTTTCCATTGCTTCTGTTGTACATATCTAACTTTAATATTGTATATTTTTCAGCTAGAGTTTCATAGTCTGTTGCATGAAGCCAACTCCCCTCTCAGTAAACATATTCCCAATGTTTTGGCCAGTGGGATTATTTATCTTGAAAATGGATCTTATAACCATTTAAGTTGGGATGGAAAAGGAGTCCCTGATGTCATTGTGAAGAACAATCTAATCAGTAAGATATGCAACGTCAATGGTTTCTCATTTGGGGTATGGGGCAAGAAACAGTTGGAGTATAGAAATGCTGGGATGCTGGTGGATGGATCAGTTAGCTTAGATGGTCACTCAAGCATATGGCCATATATGATAACAAAGCGATGTGAAGGGAATATGTTTGCGGAATTGTAAGTCATCGTTAGGGTTTAGTAATAACTCTGCCATTCAAATTTCTTATATTTAAAAGTGACATAATTCACTGAATCTTATGGATTTTGTTTTCATTCTCTTGCAGAAGAGACAGACTAACATGGGAAGATACAACAAAATTGGCCTCCTTCTTGGGGGAACAGCTGTGCCACCTTCATCTTTTGCCATATCCACCCCTAAATATTTCATCTTTTTCTGATATTGAAAATGACCTAAGCGTGGTTGAGGCTAATGGTTGCATTGCAACTATTAACTGTAAATCAAACGCTGCAGCAGAATGGGGGCTCTTCACCAGAACCTTAACAAAGATGAGGAAGGATGTGTCAAGCCGTTTGACCAAGTGGTACAGTTTGTTCTTTTTGGCCCTCTGGTTTCTTGTTATACAATATAGTTTAAATTCTTAGATATGTAAGAAATGTGCACTGAGGGAAGACATCATATTTTTATGCATATGAATGCAAATTTAGTGAACCTTCATAGCACTTTGAAGTTCAAAATGAGTTCATAACTTCATATAGATATAAAAAAAACTGCCAATTTCAGTAGCTGTATTTATCAATTATTTATAAGCTCTCTTTCGACGTTGACTTGCTTAGATTGTACTTTATTCACGAGTTGCTTTTTTTTTCTTTTTTGGTTTTGCCTATTTGCTCCTGTAACATACTTGTCTCTATGATTAATCTTTCTGTTAGTCATTTTTATTTGTAAGGCTGCCTCTTATGCTTGTTACTAATATTTTGTAGGGGAGATCCAATTCCTAGCAAACTGATAGAGAAGATTGATGAATATATCCCACCTGATTTTGCTGAGTTGTTAAATATAACCGAGGTTTCTTCTAAACTCAAAATCACATTCTGTCATTAACCTTTTTTATAGATATGCTACTAGAGTTTCTCTTCTAAAATCTGTGTAACTTCTATTTGACTTCAGAATTTTGGAAATCATGCTAGTAAACCTTGCTCCTGGATACACACTGACATTATGGATGATAACATTTACATGAAACCATCATTGGTTTGCTCTACTACCAGTGGGAAAACTGAAGATAGCACCATGGTGGACAATGGTTCGTTGAGTAATTATGAAGTAAAATCATGGTATCCTAGTCATATTCTTGATTTCAGTGATCTTTCGATAGGTCAGTACTTCTCCTTTTCTACTTCCAAGAATTTTATTGTCTAACTTTTATTGAAACTTTGTCATTGTATGGCATCATAATTGTTCAAGTGCTTTCAGTATCTACAAGAAGCTTTTTCTTTATTCAGTACAGTAGAACTGGTGTTGTGTTTTCTCTAAAACATGAACGAAGACATGCATGTTATTAAACCCCAGGACTGATTATTTTTTCCTGTGGTTATGATTTCATTTTTTCCTGCACTATTTTTATGGTTTTCAGGCTAATGCAAGCTGTTCTGCAAAAAGTAATCATTATAATTTCAGTTTTGTCCCCAAGAAATAAGAATTCTTGTTCTTTAGTGATTGCTGGTCTTGAGATGCATATTCCTGGTAAATTTAAGAATAATTAACTAGTAGCTTGTTAAGTAACATGGTTACTCATTAACCAATCTATGAACATCATTAACCAAATGAGTGATTCTTAAACTGGAAATATTTATACCAAGAAATCATTCTATACAATTTTCCCCAAATGTTTCTTTCTATGGTGTTTTCATACTTTTGTTTCATTCTTCTTTAAACTTTCAGTTGATTGATATTGCCTGCCTTTTTGTTAGCTCTTCTATTATACATTAGTTCTTATTTACCTTCCTCTGATTTGTCTGTCTAATCTATTTATATAATTAGTTGTACAATTATTTATGATTGTCTCACCATTATCTAGATCATCTCTTTAACTCCGCGCAGATATATGTTCAAAAAGTAACATTGCCGTGAAAGTATTCTGATGTTATTTCCATATACTGGTTATTTCAGCTGTTTTTCTTTTTATTTATTTTGCAGGTGATCCTCTTTTTGACTTGATACCAATTTATTTAGATGTATTGAGAGGTGATTCGTATCTCCTTAAGCAGTTTTTAGAAAGTTACAAACTTCCTTTTGCTAGTAACATATCAAGGTATGAGTCAACAGAGAGTGATCAAAAGTTTGGTCGACTTTCTTATGTTGCCATGTAAGTAACTGTCTCCATATTTCTCTTGCATAATTAATTTCTCATCAACTAGTATTTCAATTTGCATATATGGAGGATTTATCTAGAAATATGAAATTGTCTGTACCTATAAGTCAATGAATCAGTCACGCTTCCCTGGTCCCCTGAAAGGTTGTTCGAATATAGCTGAGATTGTGTTTAGTACTTCATTAGTTGATAATAATAACGTTAATAATTTTTCACCTTGCATCATGAATTTTACAATGTTTCACAAGAATAATTGGATATTTAATTTAAACTCAGAGTAGTCTATAGAAGCAAATCATTGCACCACGAAACTAGTCGATAAATTGGTAATTGTGAATTTTCCATTTCATGTTTATTTGTGGAAGTAAGTAATAAATGAAGACTTTGTTCTACACGCATATGAAATTATTCGGGTGCCTTGATGCAGAAAATGAACATTTTGTACGGCTAATATTTACAGACTTTTCTTTTGGTCAATTATCAGAAGTATAGGGTTATGTTTGGATTGATGAAAAGGAATGGACTGGAATGGCATTAATTTTTTGTTTGGATTGTTCAATATTGTAAAATGAAACGTAGCATGGTGGAATGTATTCCTTCACATTCAATCTGGTATTTCTATTTTTCTTCCCCCAATTTATAGAATGGAATTGCACTAATAAAGTTATCACTCATAGTTTCGTTTACTTTTGAAAGGATGCCGTAGAAACTTTATTTCTTCACATCTTAAAAGCCAAACAATGATAGGATTGTTTTATGGATTTTGTTTACAATTGCTCTAAGGGCATTTATTAAGGAGCATTTAGTACACTTTATTAATGCTTTCATTACATAAAAAAAAAATAGTAAATTAATTGTGATTTTAAAATATAAGTGCTATTGCATTTCATTACATTAATAAATTTGTGTATTTTGTAAACTTTTTTTGCAAATGTTGAAGTAGCCCATTGAGATTTGTTCGTTTTCTTTTGAAATTGTAGGTGCTATTGCATCTTGCATGATGAAAATGTCTTGGGAGCTATTTTTAGCATATGGGAAGAACTAAGATCAGCAAATTCATGGGAAGAAGTTGAACTGACAGTTTGGGGAGAGTTGAACAATTACAAAGGCTTTCCGTGACCATTGGCCGTTTAAGTGATTTTGGAGCCCGAATGCACGTCAGAACCCCGGTGATCCTAAATATTCAACTTGTCCAGAGAGGAGTTTAATCAATTAGTTAACATTAGCTTTTTATCTATTTCATTGTTTGAAAATTCATAATAATGTTTCCTTCCCTGTATAGTTAATTTAGTAGTGAAATCATAACATTTTTTCCTGGCATAGAGCACTGTAAAATCACAAATTTTTTCTATAAATTCAAAAGTAAATTATATGAATATATTCTAACTTTAAAATGGATTTCCTTAGTTTCTTCCGGAGTCTGTTATTAAAATGCATTGCAACTTCTATCAATGTAACACGGGAATGGATCTTCTCATGTGGGTTTAATTAATGTAACGCAAATAGGAGAGCCATCTTTAATAGTTTTTTTAAGTAAAAATTTAATGCTTTTACACTATTATACCGTGTATTAATAAATTTATATTTTATTTTAAAAAAATTAACTCTCAACTCTCATGCCTTTCAAACCCATTTACTATTGACTATTTTTATTTGCTAAAGATGGAAATAAAAAAAAATTGGATTCAAGAAACGGAAAGAAAGTGGTTAAATTATTCTTTTGAAAACTTTTTTTCATTTATATTATTTTATTTAGTCATTTAAAAATTTTAATTTAATTTTTAAAATTATTTAATATTGTATTTATGTATAAATTGACACTAGTCATGAAAATACTAACGTTAATTTTAATGATGTGGACAACATAACTCTCCTGATATTTAACATAATTACATAGCAAGATTTGAATTCAATACCATTATATAATAATACATAATAAATAAAGAAACATAGTTCAACATGTTATAGAGATTAAAATTAGTTGAGAAAGATATTACTTGCAAGGAGATGTAATGTAAAATGTTTTTACATTATTATTCAATCACAAGTTATTATATATAGAAAAATTGTTGATTTTAATAATAACTATTTTATAAATTATATTAAACATGATTTTTAATTCATTGACTTGGAAAAACTCTTATACTTCTATATTCGGTAAACTCATTGAAAGGATCTTTACACTTAAATAATCTTTACTCTTAAATAATCCTTTGCACATATTAAAGAGCTCTTGAATAAGCCTTGGGAGGTGGTCATCCGTCACTCCCTTAGGGAAGGTAATGAGTAAACTGATTACATGGCCAAGATGGGACCTAACTCTGATGTGGATTTTCAGCTGTTAGACTCCCATCCGAAGGACTTGCAGGCTTGCAGCACATTCTCTTGGCAGATGCCATCGGAATCGAGTTTAGTAAGTTTTTGTTAGACTTTTCTTTTCTTTATTTTTTTTTCTTTCTGTATTTGTCTCCATGTCTCAAAAAAAAAAATCTATCATTAGTCAAGAATATTCTTTATGTAAATTAAAAAATAAATAAAAAAAAACCTCTAGGAGAGGTAGCTTCCAACAAAAAAAACTTGACTTGTTAAATTGCTTGTTAACCTTATCTAAAGGATTAAGTAGCTATTATAAAATGAGTATTGACACCTAATTTTATAATTTTTATATATTTTCTAATATATCATTCAATATTATCGAATAAATTTACACAAGTCATACTTAAAAGATATTATACTTAAGTTTTTTTTTTTTTATCAATAAGAATCAAATTTGATATTAAAAAATTATAATAACTTACACTCTACTCAATTAATTAAGTTTGACTCCTTATATTAAACATTAAGTTTTAAATAAATCTACATAAAACTTATACTTACAAAAACTATTATTTGTTCGAATACATTATAATTAAAGCATAATCATCGAATAAAACATACATAATTTATATCTATAACTATATTAGTCTATATTTATAATCTATAATTTATAACTATAATAAAAATAATAGGTCTTTTTCGTGATATTTTAGTTTCAATTTTATCTCTATAAACTAAAATTACTTCCTCATAATTACTATTTTTTCCCTGTAAGTTCTACATTATAAATCACTTACATTTTTTAAATAACTACAACGTTTCACTATTTTTTGTTTTATTTTTTAAATATGAGAGACACACCTTTTAAATAATTATCTATTTCTTTGTTTTATTAACTTTTCTTTTAACAAGAGAGACACTATAATTTATTTTAAATATCTTTTTCATTATTAATTATACTTATGATTATTAATTATACTTATTAATTATTAATTATACTTATGATTTTTTGTTGATATGTCTATTAATCAAATCAATAAAGTTCTATTTATCGATATATATGATCTTTTAGACCGTAAATAATTAATGATCTTTCTTTAGAGTTTGAGTACTTATTAATTCACTTTTTTATTATGTTATTATTAATTATTATGATGACATTCTAGTTCTTAATTATAATTATAATTCTCCTAAAAAAAGAGATATTTAGAGTGATAATTATATATCTTATAATCAAGTATATTTGAATACTTTTTTTCTATGAGTGGGAGAAAGAAATTTGAGATGTAATAAAAAAATAAACATAAAATAATGATGTATGTACTTCACAATATAATCGCTCTTATAAAAAATAGTACGATTTAAATAATTTCTGATAAAGCTTACTATATACCAAAAATTAGGGAGACATAATACTTTATACGGAAATTGTGTAGTAAACTTTATTAATGCAAAGAGCGAGCGAATAGCAGGTTGGCCTGAGTAGTGACTAGTAGCTAGTGCCTAGTATGACCTACCACTTTCTTGATTCTTAATCAAGGAGGACCGACGAAATAAAAAGGAGGACCAGAAAAAAGTTACAGTGAAAAGCACTTTTAAGGGCCTCACACGCAGTGGCTACTCGAATCCAATCTCCAAACGGGCCCATTAGCAACCAACCCAGCCCATTCCTTTTCCTTTCCCAATTGGCCATTATTGAGTTTCTGAATGGGCGACCCGTTGAATTCAAAGTTGAAACTTTTCAAACCAACGAAAACGAATATTATTCCTGGTTATAAAAAGAATACAGATTCGCATTCGCAAATGACAGAGTAAGAGAGAGAGGGACGCACCAACCTTTTCCGCCACAGAGAGTATCAAATTCAAAACCCCGTGTCTGACAGCTGTCACTATTTTCTTATTTTAAATTAATACTTAATTTGAAATTAAAAAATCACAAATCACCAATCCAACGGTTCACGTTCCATCTCCAAAACGACCCCACCGAGGCTTCTCAAAACGCAATTATCGGACGCAATAGCCTCAAAACCAGCCTTTCCCTTTCGTCCCTCTCCGTCTCCCTCATCGCTCCCTTTCTCTCTCTAACCAGATCTCGCTCTCTCTCTCTCTCTCTCTAGATTCCACAATGGCGGCCGCTCCCACGCCTCGTGAAGAGAACGTCTACATGGCGAAGCTTGCCGAGCAAGCCGAGCGCTACGAGGAAATGGTCGAGTACATGGAGAAGGTCTCCGCCGCCGCCGACAACGAGGAACTCACCGTCGAGGAGAGGAACCTCCTCTCCGTCGCCTACAAGAACGTCATCGGCGCGCGCCGTGCCTCCTGGCGCATCATCTCCTCCATCGAACAGAAGGAGGAGAGCCGCGGCAACGAGGACCACGTCGCCGTCATCCGCGACTACCGATCCAAGATCGAGTCCGAGCTCTCCAACATCTGCGACGGTATTCTCAAACTCCTCGACTCTCGCCTCATTCCCTCCGCTTCCTCCGGCGATTCCAAGGTCTTCTATCTCAAGATGAAGGGAGATTACCACAGGTACCTCGCCGAGTTCAAGACCGGCGCCGAGCGTAAGGAGGCTGCCGAGAGCACCCTCTCTGCCTACAAATCCGCTCAGGTTAACCGTTTTCTCTTTTTCTTTTCTTATTTTGTCTGATTCTGCGATTCAGATCTGTTCGGCTTATTCTCCAGATTTCCGATTTTCGATCTTTGTTATTCTGTTCATGAAATCTATATGATTATTAACTCGATTTGTTTTTAATTCTCTGCTTGATGCGGTTTTGTGGAACGGTTATGCATTATTTGTTGTGGCCTTTTATTTATGTGTGCGATTTCGTTCTGTACAATTTGAATTGAACGATTTTCGTTGTGGAAGTAGGAAAGATTAGAGTTAAGGAATGAGGATCGGAAAATGAGTTCTCGTGCATCTGCTTCAACTTTATTTATTCCGGTGTTTAGCTATCTTTTTTTAACGAATGAACGTGTGTTGTTTGTTTTGCAGGACATTGCAAATGCCGAACTGGCTCCAACTCATCCAATTAGGCTCGGCCTTGCTCTGAACTTCTCTGTATTCTACTATGAAATCCTTAACTCTCCTGATCGTGCCTGCAACCTTGCAAAACAGGTTAGATTTAGAGTGAATATTATGGCCTGTGTTTTGCTATGTGTATTTGTGTCTACTTCATTTTGAGCAGAGTTTTGGATGTTTCCCGGGAAAACGATGGAATTGGGACCGCTGCAGTGAATTATGCAGCTATTATTGTCCATTAATTGGAATAACTTTATCGCCACTCCATGTTGCATTTCGTTAATGATGAAGCAACAATGATGTTACTTGTTGGATTCTAGCGACTAAATTTGGAATCTGGAGTTTGCTTTGTACACTTGTTGTTACTTTACCTGTAGCTAAAATGAGTTGTCAAATATTTATTGGATTTCACGCTAATTGTTTGGATATCTAATAATTATAGCTAACAAACAACAACAATCAATAATTGACTACTTAATCTAGTTACTGGTATGGATTGGTGTGACCTGAGTAATATCCGTAGAATATATTCTTTTAGTTATTGATGTGGAAATGTTCTGGTACAAGTTGCTGGAGCATAAATTTACTATGAGTTGTTTTGTTCTAACGAAGAATCTTTCCTTTCGATATTCACTAGGCTTTTGATGAAGCAATTGCTGAATTGGATACGCTGGGAGAGGAGTCATACAAGGATAGCACTTTGATCATGCAACTTCTTCGTGATAACCTCACCCTTTGGACATCTGACATGCAGGTATTGATTTTAGTTTGCCATAGCTCGTGTATTACTTTTTCCCCCCTTTTATTTTCTGTTTTTCAACTTATTGATATTGGTTTGTTCTGTCGTGGTTTCAGGATGATGGGGCAGATGAAATTAAAGAAGCAGCACCAAAACCAGACGATCAGCAGTAAAAATATTTTACTGCTAATTAGAATTGAACTTCTCCTCTATATCTTTTTGAAGGGGGATGGTGTTTGTTGCTAATATCTTTGGTACTGGGATTTTAGGCATTCATGTCTGTTATGAATTGTGGATGTACTGGGCCGTTTTAGTTTGTCC